GACTAATGACAAGGAAGCTCAGTGCGGAAGGTGATGCATTAGATAGATGATATCATTCTGAAGAAAATTTCAGCCAAGAAAGAAAGAAATGGTTTCATTTGTTCTTTCAGAATTTTGAAACGCCTGCAAAACACGTCAATTACCTTCTACCCAATGTAGCCATACAATGGCTACACAACAGCACGATGGAAATACAAGTCTACCTTCGCATATCCTTTTGCTAAGGGATTCTAATCTCAGTGGTATCATCAGAAAGGATGCACAACAAAGAATAATCACTTCCCAAAGTAATGCAGGGGTCATCCATGGAGCTGCTCAATATTGCTACTGTGAAGGACTGAACAAAGGTTCTCTGTGTGTATTTAGCTGAGGAGTGGTGCATCATGCACGCGTACTTAAACATCTAAAGGAAAGAGAGGAGGTGCTTGAAGTAACTAACTTTCAAATCATTTTAACCTCAGTAAACATATAACAACTACTTGAATGTATCTGTAATGTTACACGCGTACTTAAACAGGCTGGACAAAATGACTTCTCATTAACTCCTTCTAAGATCTTAATTTTTGGGATTTAGTACAAGTTCAAACCCTGAATAAGGATTGTTGAAATAAACATTTGGTCACCGTTACTTCAGTTGAAAACAGAATTTAAAAATTGTTCTGTTCACAAAATGGTGACATAGAGGAGGAATGTGGTGATGAAGACTGGAGAAACCGCACTGCGTTTCAAGGCAGTTTCAAACTGGATTGAAATTTCCAGTAAGAGCATCATTAGTAGCAGTTTGAAAACACTTTGTTCAAAACACAAATTAACAGTTTTTAAATGTTACTTTATGAAAATGGACTTGTGTGGAACAATGCTTTTAAAACATGAATCTTGCAAGACCCAAGTTCTTGGGTCAGCAATCAATCAAATCAATCTATTTTCAAGAATTTTATAATCATATTCTTGAGGACATTTGTGTTTTGGCACTCTGTAAATCAAAAGGCCAATATTCTTTGCCCTACTAAAAGCTTAGTAGTTCCATTGATTCCATATGTTTAAATAAACATAGATGAGGTTAAGATTTACCCTCTGAACCTGATGCAGTTTTAGTTTTTTATTTCTCTTCCATCTTCCAGTAAAAACTTCAGGACGCAATTTCATTCTTGCATTGTTAGAGTTGGAATGATTAATGGGGTCTCGCATTCCTAGAGTCGTGGCACTGTATAGAAGTACAATAACTTGAAAGTTTTGTCTAGCTAAATTGTTCTGCCTTAAAATTGCAGACTAGCAGAAACTCCATGAAAACATAACTGAGCAGATTTATCAGACCACCGTCAGGATCATCACCCAGCTCTCCTCAGATAAAATTCACGTTGTGGACATGATAAATTGTATTAAATTAATTTTCTGAGATATGATTATCTGAAAACATCTTTATCACCAGTATTTTCTCCCAATATTACTTCTTTTTACACTCCCCACGGCTTTCTACAACAGAGAAGATAAGTAAAGTCATCAATACCTCCAGACTGCCATTAGTGCTCCTAAATATTATCCTGACAAAATGAGAAATTGCAGAAACAACTCAGCAGATCTACCAGAACAGTTCTGAAGAAGGGTCACTGGACTTGAAATGTTAATTCTGCTTTCTCTCCACAGATGCTGTCAGACCTGCTGAGTTTTTCCAACAATTTCTGTTTTTCTTTCTGATTTCTCGCATCTGCCAGTCTTTTCGCTTTTCATTATCCTGACAACACTGTTAATCTTGAAGGCAGCAAAAAACCTCAGACAGAAACACATTGCTAAGTTGAGTGCTCCATCATATGGATCTAGGCTAAGGAAAATTAAAGCACTGGATCTTGAACTTAAATATCAAAGTCTGCAGGAATCCAAAGCTGTCAAATAAAAGCTGGAATATAGAAATTTACTCTTCAATTAATAAATTTGACCCTCAATTTTTTATTTTGTTCAGTTTGATGCGAAGAAATAAATCTGACAATCGAAGCTCGATAAATACAATTTACCTTCACTCATAACCAACTGAAGGAAAATCAAATTAATTTAATCCAATCTAAAGAAAACTTCAAATCATTCCAGTTAAAACTTAAATCCAAACAAGCAAATCTGAAAACCAAATCAATCTAATCTAATTAATTCCAATTTCAGAATCAAATTAAAGTTACATTAAATCAATCCTACACTAAATCAAAATAAATCTACCTCAAAACAAACCAAAATAAAGGCCTGATTGTATCACTAAAATTGGGTATTCTGTATTGCCCATCTTTACCAACAGAAAACAATCTAAATGTTCTCAAATTTTTCACATTACAACAACTCAGTGTAAGAAATTAATTTTTGTGCTTTTCAACAGCAAAGTATGTTCGCAGAAGGTGCACTGAAACAAAAAAAAGACAGCAATAAATTACTGATTTTTTAAATTAGAAGTGAAACAGAGTTAGAGGAGTCCAAGGAATGAATGAGTTACAAAATCTTCTTAATCAATTAAAAAACTGTTTACAGTACAATTGAAGTAAAAACACTGAAAACACAAAAAACATTCTGTTGTTCAGTATTAGGAAAAGATGTGTGGTAAAGGATAAAATGTATGACTGCTTTAAATTTTGTTTGAAGTCTTTAAAGTTTACTTCCCATGTTTTAACTCTCACAAAATTATGTTTAACGATCAAAAGGGTGGCAGCTCTTTAGACCCAGTAGCACTAGCCAGAGTGGTGGCAAATGTTGGGACTGCGCTCAGCTGCAGCTACAAATGGCTTGCTTCCACTCTGTAGGGATTCTATGATTCTACTCTTGTGGGCTGGATCAAATTCTGCCCACAAAGTCTGGAGCTTTCTCCATCAAGCTGCCATTTCAAGTTTCACATTGTTTCACTAATTTTTTATACTGCTTTGATATATCATTTATATATTAATAACTAAATTAAACACTGCAGACTATATGGACATAAAGGTTTGCTTTCCAGCTGGTACATTTTGTGCTTCTAATGCTGTTATGTTTCAATTTAACTTTGACTAATGGAAATGCTGAATATAAGCTGAATATATCCTGTCTTCAAAAATATAATTAAAAAGTTACAAAGGGGAAAAAAAAACAATCCATCATAATGATAAACTGCCCAATCATAGATGCAACATATGTAATAACTTGATGATCCAGAATAGGTTTTGATTAATTTTTATAAAGAATAATTTCAATGTACAAGATCCATAAGATTGACCTTGCTCAATCATTCATATGCATTTTTTAAAGCCTGATATATCAATTGTCATTTCAGTTTGCATACTTGAAACTTATAAACCTTGCTCTGTAGAATCAAAAGCTGATTCTTTTCCTTTTTGAATGCCTCCCTGGATTTAGGCCTGAATTTTATCTCCTCTTCTGGCAGTGTTGGCTAGTAAAATCCAGCATGTGGCCTTCCCTCCCGCTCCTGATCTGTAAGAAATTTTGCAGGAACCAGTGAAATTGCCGGGTACTCTCTGGCTCATTGCGCCCTTCAGGTAGCTATTAATAGTGTCATAATGGTCTTTCTCCACCCCTGCTACTAATTTACCCACATTACAAGTTGTGCCGCAGGCAGTGTGGGAAGCCCAGCAGCTTCAGCTGTACAGAACCTTCTATGTGGGCCCCTGTGCCCATCAGAGGCATACCTGTCCAAGATTTACATTTCTCCCTATGCCCTTCCACAGACTTGCATACCCAGCATCCTTTCCCACACATTAAGGCTTGCAAAAACTGATAAAATCCATCCCATTTACCTTCTTATTCAGATCCAGCGACAATCTCCACTGGGGACTGTTTGTGAACCTGGTAGGGGTCTCTGTTTCCACACCTGACATAAAGGGACCACAGAGGTGCCAGCCATGTGATTGGCCAGCAGCTCTCTGAGGTGGGAATTCCAATCCCTGAGGAAGTCATATCCTGCCTCTAGTCCGTTAATGACAAATTGACTGTTTATGAACAGTCATGCAGCCATTCTTCCCTTGGGCAGACCTCCAGCCAACTTTTTAGATGTGGGCATGGAAATCATAGCACCCTGTAGACTCCAACATTACATGTTTACAAGTGGAGTTGAGGTTGAGGATCAGCCATCGTATCTTTGAATAACAGTGCCTCAAGGGGCCATATGGTCTAGTCTTATTCATATTTATTATGTTCTTGTTTATTGGCACCCAAATTCCCCACCCTTGTAGAGAAATCACCAGGCTGAGAACCTGGAAACTTTCTTACTGGGTAACAAGAGCTACAACTAAAACCTTCTCATGTTTAGGGAGAACACATTTTATTTGTCCTTCTTTAAATAGTATTTCAGTTATCTGAACAGTAGGCATCCAAATCATGCAGTTATAAAAATTAGTTGATTTCAATTCCTGTAGTCTAAAATAATATTGTTTATACCTGCCAGTTTATGAAATATCACTACTGTGTAAGTTATACCAATGCTCTTATTGTGATCACTGAAAGTGAAAAATGTACTTAACATCTCTACTTTTATGAAGCTGTGCTATTTGTGCTAAGTGCATAATATATTGTCTGCTTGGGTTTTGCAGTTTTTATGTGTACCGTTAAGGCCTGGTCTTACGTAAATCTAACTGAAGAGCTGCGTATTATGCTGGCAACTCTATTACCTTCTCCCCCTGCACAAAAGAACTAGTGGTTGCTTGATTTTGCTTGTTCTGCTTATTTATCCCGTCACTATGCTTTGTAGTTTCCTTTAATGGTTTCAATAACCTCTGCTATTGCCACATGGAGAGGCCATTAGGTGGTGCATGAGAGCAACTGAAGTGACTTATTCCCCCATGGTACCCTCTTTGTGGAAATTTAGCATGTAGAAATGGTAGTGTAAATCATTCCTTTGCACAGTGTTGTACATTTATGTTCTGTTCTTGAACTGTAATTACACCATGTTCAACTACAATATATTTTTCTCAAGATTCCATAGAGATAAATTAGGCAGTCCAATCTACTTCAGAAATAGCCATAATATATTTACTCACCCCACGACCCATCATCCCGTTGTTGACTGGGAGGCCAATAAATGTGAAAGCTGCTTCACGGATGAAATAAGGATTCAGAATCCGGATCTCTTTGGGCTCCTTAGGGACAACTGTGGCAACAGACTTCCAGAAACCATCCAATGGGCTCTGGAAATAAAGAAAGCAAAAAGTTTATTTTCCATATATTTTTCACTCTCCATTGCAATATTTTTAATCCTATTTTCAAATAATGTTGATTGCCTAGATGGTGAAGAAAATCACCATCTGTTCTAAGTTATAATCATTATTTCGTCCATTAGTTTGGTTTATGCAACATTCTGTGATTGAGCATGCAGATTAATCTGCAGACTGCTTTTATTTACTGACACTGTAGAAGTAAGTATAGAAAACCTAAATGCATATTTAATTCCAATTCTGGTTTTAATTCTAATTTTTCCTCTCGATCACTCAGTCCCTCATATAATATCTCACTCCTATAGTTTTTTTTCCAAATCATCTGACTCACTGCCTCTCCAAATCATCTTTGCCACATGTTTATAACTCCAGAAGTATGATGTTCAATTCTGATCATAAGTCCAGGCATTGGGAACAATTCTGAAAGCAGAAGCCAAACTCCTGATGCATCTGAACTATGGGGAGAGAGGTGAGGCAGCCCAGAATTATTTAGTTTGACAAAGAGAGGGATCATTAGAGGCATTATACAAAGATCCTTAAATAAATAAATTACTTGTCTGAGATTGCCACATACTCTAGAATTGTAACATAGCTGACTAGCGTGGACCTGATGGGCCGAAGGATCATTTTCTGTGTTGTAGATTTCTATAACTCTAAACTTAAACTGTCAATGCATTATTCCTTTTATAAATTTGAACTGTGTCCGTTTATTTGAGTATATATATTTGGTTTCAATTTATTGAGTTACAACAAAGTAGCTTCAATACCAGTAAATAGGTTAGAGATGTTTATGCCTTTAACTTGAACGTACATATTTACTGCAGGTACTTCTTGAAAATAAAATTTGACATTTGTTAAGTTGAAAGGTCTAATCATTTTTGAATGCGTTTTTTTCAATCAGTTTGATTTTATTTTCAGAATTAAGAGACTATTATCAATAGCAGAATTCTAACTTCGCGAAATAATGCTGAAACTTGCATTTATTACAGTATTATGGATACTGGCTATTGTAGAAAATCTGTTCATGACCATTTAGCTAATGTACAACCAATTTGAGAGTCAGGTTCCTTTTCCAATTCTCCTGCCTTATTGATTAATATTTTGTGCAGCTTTGTTAAAACCTGAATAAATTAGCTTCATACCAAAATCCCTGAAAAACTGCCGTAAAATTTTAAGGAAATGCTCTACTCCATGAAATAACTCCTGTGTATTGCTTCAATGCAGTAGAATTGGCGACAGTTGGTTATATGACTGACACACAAGTTGGATGAACTAGTTTACAACTTAGGTTTTGACAGTTTGCAGCAACGTATTAAAGTCCTGTTCTCCAAGGGGAGTTCTTCATTGAAACTGAAGAAAAGGACGTTAAAATATGGCCATTAAATCACTTAATTTAATGGAGAAATCTGTTATCCAGTTCTTTTATTCAAAGATAATATACAGCATAAGCTAAAGGCGTAGGGCGATCGAAACGAGAATTGTAAAGAGTTCGCTGATTTACGAATACAGAATTTCCACTTGGTTCAAGATATCCAAAAACAGAAGACAAGAGGAACTCCTGTAAACAGTGAGTACTTGGTCAATATCACAGTGTGAAAATATCTAGCGTCACCAATATATAACTCAAACCTTGTTTCATAACATATATTTCTACCCTGCTCTCAGATTAACTGTGCCTCAGTTTAATAGGTACTGTGGGAAGTAAATAGAGAAGGATAATAAATTTTTCAATAAGAAAATAAGACACTAATTTAAAGGTCTGAACTTTTGAATATTATTGGCAATAATTAGTTGCAGAATATTTAAAAGAAATGTGCTTTCAGTTACTTTAAGTTCATCAATTATAGAGTTTAGCATGTATTCAACTGTCATAGCAGGAAGCTTTCACTTTCTCACTGCTTTTATGCGCACACATCATATTATTGGGGCTTCCATATTTGAAAAGAAACTGAAGATGCGCATTTTCTGCAATGTGCCAAGGGGAAAGAAGAGTGGGACTAATTGCATAGCCTTCAAAGAGCTTGCACGGACACGATGAGCTTGAATGGCATGAATGTCCTTACTCTATGCTGAATTATTCCATGATTCACATGATTCTATACAAGAAAAAAAATACATTCTGAACTTAAAATTTATTTGAACTAAATTTGTGCTAAGGCTCTGGTGTCATGGGGATGGATATTTATTTGCCCAGTGGCAATGGGCTTGGAGGTAGTGGTGCTGGTAAAATAGTGGTGACGGCATCAGATTAGAGGTTCGTAAGAAAAGACTTGAAAGTCAGCAGGAACGACAGAAAGTGAACCCTCAATAAAATGGATTGTGTCACTCAGGTCCAACACTGCTAGTATATACAGTATTAGACATTTGAAAAGCATTAATCCATGAAGATTTCGCATCTCAGCGGTTTGATCCTCTGAATAAGTCTGATTCCTGCAATGAAAAGGAGTGTGGGAGAGACAGGTGTCAGTACACCCACATAAAGTGTATGGAATAGCCAGGCATGTACCAGCATCATGAGAGTGCAATGGGATGTGGACAAGGAGAGTGCATGGGGGCAATACTGTAGGCTAGTGTTCAGAGAAAGCGCTATCCAGCTGAAAGAGTTCACAGACAAACAGAGGCTTACTTCATGGAGAGGTCTGAACGTCAATGTCCCAGAAGACTATATTCAGTCCAGACAGGTGGTAGCAAACTTATGTGGAATGATGTAACAGCAGTTGAGGTCACTGAGATGTGATAGCCACCGTTTACCAGTCATGGTGAATATGATCGTGACATCCAACATTTACACCAGGTTTGGAATTTTGCGGGCACTCCCAGCCAGCAACCTGTCATTGCATCAAGCAGGTGATAAATGCTATGTACCATATGAATACATCAGGCGCAGCACCAATTTGGCTCAATGGGCTTCAATCCTTTCATTGCATTCTCTCAATGCAGGGGATAAATTATTGCACATATGGTTATAAAGGTTCCTGCAGAGTAGCAGATCCTTTTACTAACAGGAAGGCATTCCATTCACTGAGCATGCAAGCAGCCTGCAAGCTTTGTTGTGTCCATAGCTCCTGGGAAGATGCGAGAAGTCTGCTATCCCAGGACAACTGGTATGCCTCAGCTCTTTAGGCTAAATCTTAGTGGATGGCTACTGTGTGACAAAGGGTATGCACCAAAAGTTGTTATGTCACTACAAGGACAACCATCACACAGGCCACTGAACATTTGAAAATGAGGTTCATTTGCTGGTATAGATCTGGAAGAGTCTTCCAATATGATCCATCAAGTATCTGGCGTATTATATACTCAACTGCACTCTGCAAAATCTGGTTAAGTTCTTAGGGGACAGTTGCATTGGAGATGGATAACTACATTGAACACACCACCTTTTCTGAAGAGGAACGTGAGTTGAATAGGAGTTAAGACCAAGTGGCTATAGGCTTATCTCAATGGATGTTAATGTTCTTGCCAGGAAGACTCTTGACATGTTTCTCCTGAGATACTGTGAAACATCCCTAGAAGTAGCCTTGGGGTCCTTTCATTAAACATCATTACTATCTCACCAATCCCATCATTAGATGATTCCCAGAGCTCGTTCCATGACTGCCTCATTTCAGGCCTTTCTTTTCAAGTTCTCCAAATTAAGTGTTCAACATCAGTTAACAGTCCACTTGTGTAAAAGTGAAAGGCTGTTTCTGTTACTGTCAAAGGAGTTGAAGATCTGCTGTGAATGCAAAGTGGCGACTTAAAAGTCTTCATAAGCTCCAGGCAGCCTTTCTGTTTAGTGTGAAATGAAAGGGAACTTGCAGGTGGTAAAGTTTCCACGTAACTGCTGCTCTTGTTCTTCTAGGCGGTATTTGATCAAATTTGTAAGGCACTGTTGAAAGTGCCTTAGCAAATTGGTGCTGTGCATCTTGTAGATGATATATCCTGTTGCGACTGCATGCCAGTGAGTGAATGTTTAAGGTGGTGGATGGGATGCTAATCGAGCAGGCTGCTGTAACTCATCATATCTCAATTGTGTCCTCCTTCCTTGATTACATTTCATTTTGAAGGACATATCACTTCCTGTTCTCCTCCATTCCCTAACATTATGAGCATGCTTCTTCAACATACGGAAATGTTACTCATGTCTAGTATAGTTTTGCTTGTCTGTCTTTGCCAATTGACATGTCCAACATTATGCAACTTGAACGGTTATTGCATTATTTACCTTGGACTATGGGTCTCCATTGTGAGAGAACTTTTTACATCAATGTGAAAACTTGTCTAACGATAAGTTTCAATATCAAGTTGGAAAAGGATAAAGATCAGTCAATAATTAAAATCCCAGACTGGAAAAGGGCAGATTTTGGGGTTCTAAAAATTGAACTGGAGCACATTTGAAATGCATTTTGGTGGATAAAAGAGTGGATGAAAAATGGTAGAATTTCAAAAGGGAGATGACTAGAGTTCAAGCTGTGTACATACCCATGTATAATAAATACAGCATATCCAAAGCTGGAGTACCCTAGATTGATTTGATTGATTCATTCATAGATTCACTACAGTATGGAAGCAGGCCATTCGGTCCATTGAGTCCACACTGATGCTCTGTAGACCATCTCACACAGACCCTATCTCCTTAACCCTGCATTTCCCATGGCTAATCCACCTAACCTACACATCCCTAGACACTATGGGCAATTTGGCATGGCCCATTCACCTAATCTGCACATCTCTGGACTGTGGGAGGAAACTGTAGCGCCTGGAGAGAACTCACGCAGACACGAAGAACGTACAAACTCCACACAGTCGTCCGTAGGTCCCCGGCGCTGTGAGGCAGCAGTGCCAACCAATGAGCCTCCATGCTGTACCCTGAATGACTAAGGATGTTGATGAGAAAATAAAGAAGAAAAAGGTGGCATATGATGCAATTCGTAATAATAATAACATAGAAATCAGGACGAATATCTCAAATGCAGGAAAGAAGCCAAGGC